ATGGCAATTGTGGAAACATTTTGATGAAATTTAGTACGCTCCCGTTATTTGGCCTAAAGACGAGCGCTATTGAGAATGGTTCGAATCGGATGAGTTTTTTGACCGCTACTTGCATTGTTCTTTATTTTGAAAAGCCGTTATATTAATAACTACATTATGCAAAGTGAAGGGATTTAATAGTTGGTCGTGGCCGACTACAATGGTTTCACTTGTTCTTTGCCTTAAATTTCTTAAGACATTTTGTGGAAAGAATGCATTCGAAGAAGATATAAGAAAACGAAGAACATTTGCACTCGCTCTCTTGTATTTATAATCCACCATATATAGCCTCATCTGACTACACAGTGATCGTTTGCCATGTTGTAGATGTTTTCTCAAAACAACTTTTGCCCGTATGTAGGGCGTTAAAGTGTTCGTTTTAAACAAATCTCCATTATTCTCTTATAGATAGATATATAGTTCTATGTACGCAAAGCTAATTTTATATTATTTAAGTGTGAAAAATTAATATAAATATTAAATATATAAAATCACATTTTGTTTTTGCTTTATATGAGAATAAAAGTTTTAGAAATTTTAATTTATGGAATTTTAATTAAATGTGCGATAAACTGAATTGACTATAAAATGAAAATGTGTTTTTATTTGATGTTTTTTTTTTCTTTCTATTTGCCATAAATAAAAATTTAATTAAAATACGTTTATCTGGCTAGATATTTACCGTAAAACACTAATAAACTGATTAAAGTTTAGAATTTAGAAAATTTAATTCTGTTTTTTGTCGTTTATAATATTTATTAAATAAATTTTAATTTATAACTGCAAAGGAAATAGGAAAGACCGCATTACTCATAAAATTAACTACGAACAATATGTAAAGAGTTATAATTTTCAAGGATGACCTCCTAGTGCGACAAGTTTAAACGCAACGTAGTCTGCGTGATAATTTTTTTATAACATAACGTAGAATAAAGAATATCGTTGTGATTTGAAAAGTGTTTCGATCGATATTTCAAAAAATTATTTGCATGCAGATGAAGAGTGACAAACTGATGGGTTCGAAGGTAAACGAAGCATGGTTTACGTGTCGATTGGTTTTTGACGAAGCTGACCTAACTTAAGAATAGAACTTGAGCACTTTCGAAGGTGAATTATTTGTTTCAACAAGGCAGCCTATTGCCAACCTAAAAAGGTTTCGTTTAAAGAGTTTTGCTTGAATTAGATGATCATAAAAGTCAAGAGATATAGAATCGTTTGGAGTTTTTCATGCATCTTTCCCAACAGATAGAGGGGGTGAGTTTGATGGAATTCTTGATGCTTATTCGAGCCCAGAGAGATAAATGAATGCATAAATATTTTAATTCATTTTATTGTAGAGTGTATGATCCTTTTATCGATCAATTCAATATATTGTGTTATTCGTTTATAAATTTATTTTATCGAGATTTTAATGCATATTTAAGAAGATGGCGAAGAAGATGAATTAATGGGTAGTGCGATCAAAAAGCGAACAATTTCGGTACGAGGGTCAGCTAGAAATCTATTCGCTACACCTGAGAAGTAGATTTCCAAATGTCGTTATCAGTAACTTACGGTTAAACAGCAGTGGTCGATCTTAGCAAAAATATGTAAATGAGCTTCAAAAACAGGCTAACCGGCATGGCCGCAATTAAAAAAGTTCTTAAATCTGCTTTTTGTGCAGAACGTTGGCCATAAAGTTCGGAAAATTTCAGTGGGTTATAATTTAGTTTATTGGTATATAGACGCTATCGTAAACAGTCTTACAAGACAATCTCCTAATTGAATTGTGAAAGAGGGAGAAAACCACCCCTGCCTTTCAACTAAACTTACTTCCATTACTAAAATTTAATGACTTTACCACTTACCTAGAACATCAACGTTTCCACTACATTGTCGAATATATTGTAATCGAGACTTAGGCCGGAATTTTTTTTCTTTCCACGCCTTCTACTTAAACGATAATTACTGGACTTCAGGAATACCTTATTCTCATGAAAAAGGATTTATTAGTAAATATATCTGATGAATACCTTGTTACTGCAAGTACTGCGCAATAACAATTCGCTCTAAACCGTACTTTTGTTTTTTGGGAAATTGTATCTGGTTCAAAGTGATAGTGAATCCTTTGCTTTTACATTAAAATTGGCCCAATTCGAATAATATTTGTTTTCAAATTACTTTTTTCCCCCTTTTCCAACATAATATGCACCATAAAGTCTAGTATTATTGTTGCGTTAAAAAAGCGAGTCGTTATGGTTTTGGTTTGTTTTTTAGTGCTTTGAATTTTTTAAATAAAATTTTCACGTACATGTTACACATATTGTTTTCATTTATTTATTTTGTTTTTATTCTGTATCTGCTATGTTTTTATGTTATTTCATATAATAGGAAAGACTCGACAAGCGTTAAATTTGCATTGTTTTTGAAACGGGCCACGCGAAACTCATATGTTATAAATACAGATATGCGTATAACACGCTCAGGTAGCATATTTGTTGTTTAGTCGTAATTTTTTTTTTTTTTTGCGAAAATCTTTACAGATAAAACGACATACAAAAATGCTATAATTTTAATTGCAATTTGTTTTTACTGAATATCGTGCTGTGCCTCTTTAGATTAAAACTCAACGTAAATTTATATTCACTTTGGGAACGAACCTTGAATACACAACATTTGATAGTGAGTATAACAAAAGGTACATAAAGTACAAAATTGAAGTGTTAATTGAGGGCGTGATAAATAGGATGGAGGTTAAGACAATTTTGCAAAGCCTCATAAAAATTAATAGGAATATTTTCATCGATCTTTGCCATAGATTATCATTTGCAAGCTACTGGTTTTTAACGTGCGGCGTGAATAAAATTCTTTCTACACTTTTGATATTTGCTTACGCTATACGCTTTCTATATTAATTGTTGCAATCGGGAAGAGGGAAGTCGCAAAGTAAAGAATGCAATGGCTGTATAAACATTTTGTCCAAATTATTAAGAAATCTTTTACTTTTCAAAACTTTGTGGTCATCAAGTCGGACAATGATGGACGGACATGGACACAACGCAAAAATTGTACCTAAAATCAAGGAACCTTTCATCCTCTAGTCGACACGAAAATGTAAAACCCTTGTTATCACCAAATTAGATAGATGGACGGGCATGGACGAAACCCTGACAATATTACCTGAACTTAAAGAGGACAATGTAAAAATCTTGTTGTTACAAAGCTAATAGCAGCTAAGTATATTTTTCTTAACAGATAGATGGACGGGCACAAACAAAGCAACTTGGAATTTAACGCTGATTAAATGTCTGCGCATAAGGCGTAGGGACATACGAAACACGCTAATGAAATGCCAAACGTAATATATCCACGTCCCTTTGGTGAAGGGTATACATTGAATGGACAAGAATGAGTACTGTTGCATTAATGCTGTCAAAATAAAAATAAACAATGAATAACGATTCAAATTTACAATCTTGAAAAAGAAAAAGAAGATGCGGAGCTGGGATAGGTAACATTATACAAAAACGATGCCGTAAATTAAGCACTGCTTTTTATTAACTATTATATATATAACTAATGCTTACGAAATAATGAATTGCAAGCAATTTTTCTACTTGCACCAGAAATTATGAATCTGCTAGCTTCTCTCTTATGCCATCCGGAAGAAAAATCATCAAACTATAGATAAATGAATTGAGTTGCGCTTTTGGATTCTCCATGTTTGAGTCGCTCTGCTGTTTGAAACGAAATTGAGTGTTCAAGTGTAAGTTCGTCTCGTTTGATCCAGAAGTAAAGAAAATGAAAAGATTTACGGACTTCTTTACTTCGCTTAAAAAATATCGGGATGATTAGGAAGCTCGCAATAGAATAATCAATGAATTTGTTCGATAGTTTTATTTTATATATTCTATCACTCTATGTCAAGTTTATGGCAATTTATGCTTAAATGGCGATTATCTTCTGAATTGTATTTCCTCTGGTCGCCTTTGCGATGTCGTTTCCTCCTAGAACGAACACCATGGGCAATGATTTGGATCTGGCCAAAAATCCTATTCTGAAAGGGTCATCATAAAAAAATTTTCCTTTTTCCTGGCAAGTCTAGGAAAATGGAACCATCTATTTCTATATAAAAGCTCATGTAAAAATTAATCCTTTCTACGAAAACAAGTTGAATGTTTTGGAATCAAAATAATCCCAAACTAATGACAACTGTGACATAAAAGTTTACTATGCTAAGTTTGGATCGTGGATCCATTTTTCGGCACTCTTAGCATATAATGGAAAATGTGGTGGAAAAGAGCTATGAGTTTTGCCATTTTATGGTAAAGATAGCCGTAAAGTTATGGTAAGCTAACGTGTACTAGCTAACGAGTTTGTCCGACTGTGCAGTTTTAAACATCTCATGTTTTCATACCCTACTCTACTTGTGGTACAAGCATGTGTTACGGTTGTTGAGGATGAATACAACGCCCAGAGGGGCTTGGCATAGACCTCCTTCTTACTGTGTCGATTGATTAAGAATTACTTTCTGCACCGATCTAAGCTTGCCCGTGCGTCTGTCTGTCGTTTTCTTCTTGTATAGCTCGCAATTTTTCAGATATTTTCATGAAATTCCTAACACCGACGTGTTTTGGCCCAAGGACAAACGCTATTGAAGATGATTCGGATCGGACAATATTTTCAATCATTCAATTGAATAGTTTCAACTTGTTGATTTTCACATTTTTATCACTTTAAATGAGAACTGCGTTCATTTTAATCAAGCAAAGGTAGATAAAGAATATTGAATGCCTAGGCGAAGAGACAAGCCGCACATTCCAGCATCCCTTATTACATAGGCTTTTCTATTTTTTTTTTTTTTTTTGCTTGCGCTTCTTAAGTTTACCGACTTTTCCAGTTATCTGAAGTGAATTAGATAGCTTTTCAAAAATGAAAAAAAATATAAAAATATTTTTGTTTTTCAATTTCCTTGAACTTACCTTCCGCTTTAATTGTATCCACAAAGAAATTTGTCATCACCAGCATTAATAAAAATGTTAAAAATTGAAAACACTTTGTCGTTGTAGTTTTCGATGACGTTTTAGTGTCTGTTAAAGGAAATGGCGTCACATTTGGCGCCATTTCAAATGCAGGATATTGCAAAACGTATTATTAGGAGTCTAGAGATTGCAAACACTGTAAATTCACAAGAAAAATAGAAAAAAAGAGAAAATTCTTATATATATCTTTTCTAAATTGCTTTTTGCAAAGAAAAAAAAAAAAAAAAAAAAAAAAGAGAAGAAGATATACCTACAAACGTAGATATACATAAATATATATGTGTTTAAAGCTTACTAAATTTCAAACCAATTTACTTAATTAACTGATAATTGCCGTTGAACAGTTCTTCTTGTAAATTGCTTACGCATTCCGGTTGACAGGATTTGGCCGTGTGCGAGTGTGTCTTCTTCAATCTCTTATCTTTTAGTTTTTTTTTTTTTTTTTTGTTTTAAATTTTAATTTCTTCTGCCACCTTTTACTCGTTATCATTTTGCATCCACCAAAAAAGCAAAAGTCCTGCATTAATTTTCTTGTCGTGTTTGTGACATTAGCAAAACAGTCCTTAATTTATTTAAGTTTTCAAATAACTTAGTTCATTAATTATTTTTTTGGAACTTTTATACATTCTTCGCAAATGGCTTGTTACCTTAACATTGTTTCTGTTGGACCATCTAAGTGTTTGTTGTTGTCCATATGTACGAAGATCGTTTCATCCACTATCCATTTATGTCTGTAGCCAGCCGACCATCTATCCGTCTATATGTTTACTTTTTCACTAGCTTCTATCGCTTCTCGGTCGATATATGCCCACATAAAGCCCTCTGTGTTTGCGTCAAATTTTTCGCGTGTCCGCCCTTCCGTTTGCCTGTACGTCTAGCTGTCGATTTGTACATTGAGCCATCTTTTAAACTATCTGTGTGCTGCAGACTAAACTTCATGTCTAATTGCGCGTCGTTGCGAAACACTCTTCCTCGCTACGTCTTCAATCTACCCTCTTTTCATATGTATGTACAACAGTCAAGTGATGTAGGTGGCCTTTATCGCATGCGTCCATCTCTCTAAGAAATTGCAGCAAGCCTCTACAGACCGCTAAATGATCACTTGACTTATTGCGGCTATTTTGAAATATCACGCAAGAATGGTTATAATTGTAAGAACACTGAGACAATATGTACGAAATTTGAAACCACTCTTTTTGATAGCTTAATCATCTATTACATAAAATCCTTCGTAATTTTTAGCAACATTTATTACAATGTTTCGTGGAGAAATGACATTGACAGATGACAATTGACAAATTCAATGAATTTCCTATACATATATATACATATATAACTGTTGAGTATCCAAGATTCGTTTTAAAACGAACTTGATTTTACACGTCATAATTTTGCTTTCAATTTCATACGAAATCCGATTACAAAAGCATCAAGATCTTTTTCTTTTGCTTCCTTCTTTTCGTTAACTAAGTCAGCTAAATCATAAGCGCAGTTTATTTCAATTGTCAAAGGAGTACTTTAAAAAGGCATCGACTTCGTTAGGGTGAGTAAAAACTAAATATTGACTGGTTAGAGGGAATACATAGCTTGCTTACTCACTTAAGCCGTTTTACAAAGAATTTTCACTTAATTTCTTGCATTTGCTTAATGCCTTGCTGGACCAAGCATTAATGTAAAAGCAAGCATAATGTAAAAAAAACTTTTCGAACAACGCAATAGATTACTTAAAATTTTCTTCCTAAAAGTATGCAGTGTAATTCTACATGCTATCGCCTTAAGATTAGATTATTGTTTTTGTACAATTTATGTCTCATATAAGCTACGTTATAAACGTAAATTTCCAACGCAAAAATGTATGCGTCATTTTTTCTTTCATTCACTAATAAACTCGATTTCACGCGTTTTTCTGTCACTGAAGCCCTGAAACTATTTTAAAACTCCCAACTGTCTACAGGCTTGTAAAAAAAGAAATCGCTGCTACAATAGTCTAAGTAATATGTTAATGTTTGTTTGTGACCTTCTGAAGGCGGTTAAAATGCAAAATTGATTATATCAAAATTTCTTTATCAATGAGGAAAACTAAGAAAATCTTTCCACATATACTTTATGCTAACTCTATGCTAACCTGTTATGCAGTTATTTAGAATCCTTATCCGAAGGAAGAGATGAGACTTTATTTTTGCTGACAATTTTTTAATTTCGTTTCTAATCCTTGATAAAGATTTTTTAAAGGACGCCTCAGAAACTCAGCATAACTTTTCTTATCGCCTATAGTCGGCAACGAGAGGTGTGCGTTTTTCAAATTTATATGTATTTCCTTTTGACATAGGAATAGAAGTCTTCGGTAGTTTTATGCAATTATTGTTTTATATATAAATACTAACACTTCAGAGACTTCGCCATAGGATAAAGGAAGAGAACAAAATGAACAGCAAAAAGCAAAAAGAAACTAATTTTAATAAGTTAATTGTTCTGCTTGTTCATTTTCTTATGACTCTTGAGTAAAACAATTTTTCGTTTACTTATCATTTCATTTCTAAGAGTTTTTCCAACAGAGAGTTTTCTTTCTTTTCTTTTTGCAATCCTTGCCGACATAACTACTTTACTTTACTTGTTCTTTTACTTCGTTATACTCTCACATCCTGTGGGTTTCCTGATAATCCTGTCATCACTTTTTGTGCTCGTTTGTTAGCAGAATTTATTGTATTATCGCTTTCGGTTATAAGGCCCAGTGGTTAATACACAAGCGTTATTTTTGCTCAGACGAAGGACTGTAAAAGAATTCGTGGCAGTTCATACCCGTAGCCAAACTGTACTCAACGTGCAGTTATTTCCCATTGTTGTTAATTTTTAACAGCTTGCTGTGCAGACAGAGTGACAATTAGTACAGCAAGTAAGCATTTATTAGAATTACTTAACAGCATAACAATTTTTCTTTAGTATTAAAGGACTTTTTCAATTTTTTTTTAAAATAAAGATTCCTTTAAATGTTGCTTTTCATTTAGAAATTTTTTCCCTTTCATTTCAAAAGCAAACCATACAAAGTAATTATTTTATTCGGGAGAGTTGCTTTTTGTCGTGTAAGAGTTTTCCATTTCTTTCCTTTTAAATGGGAAAACTTGAACTTCTATTTATACTTTTAAGTACGTCTTCACCTTTTAATAGGCTAAAAACCTTGTACAGTCCTATTGAATTCTATTAACGTCCGACATTAGTAGGAAGAAAAATTCATTTTGTAAAATTCATTAAGATTTTCAAGAGTTGGAAAAGAAAGCCTTCAGAAATAGAAAAGAAATAGTAAGAAAGATATATTCGGCTGGGGCCGAATCTGGCATAGCCATCACAATTAAAATCGTTGGCGTCTAATGCTTTTCATTTATGGTTGCGGAAAAGTGAATGGGATGAAATTTATCTTCCACCTCTTAGTTCGATAAAACATTTAATCCGCCACGTTGAGACGTCCACCATAAATAATATACCTGGCTTGTCGCACTCTACTCTCTACATTTTTTATTTGATATCCACATCGACGGTATTGCGATAAAAAAATGAGTCCACCATATCGCGGTGAGCACCATATATATATATATAATCACTTGTAGCTTTGTGTAGGCATGGCCGAGTTTTTCCATTTTTTCACATCAAGAGCAGACGTTTCCGTAAACTAAACGTAAAAACTTTCACGATTCTTTCATCATTTGTAAGTAGTGAGCGGAAATCTACAAAGTACGAAGTTACGTTCACTTTGCGTTTTGCTATGGGCGTGTGCTTTGATCAGTTTGACCCATTTTTGATATCAACGGGTGTGTAGGAGCTTTCAAGTATTTCTGCCAAAATTAAAGGTGATATCTTCATTTCTGCGGCCAGGACAGTGTCAACAACACACACTACACAGACAAACACAAGCGGACAGACATGGCTTCATCGATTTAGAATTTCATGCTGATCAAGAATACATATACTTTATAGGATCTGTGAAGCTTGCTTTTTGTGCGAAAATTTAATGTGCATTAAGGCGAATCGAGGATATCCAACACTATTGTAAAGATCTTATTCTTTCATCATTATATCATTATCCGTTGTTCAGGCATATTGTCCTATATGATTGCTATTTTCATTTGGCAAGACCATAGAAGGGATGTAGTGAACCATCTGTGGCATTTTTATATACATTCTTGCACGAGCACTGTTTCAATCAAGTTTTCACTAACAGGCTCTATGCGAATACGCAAAATAGCAACACTCTTCTACTCTTGGATTGCTTTTTTTTTCGATTGTGTCTACATGTGTATTTTTATCTGAAATCTGAAAAAATCAGTAGATTAACGCCTAACATGGTGCTCTGTACAGGCATGTCATTCTCTTCGATTTTGGGCAAATGTGGTTAAGAAACGATTCACTGAGAACTGAAGATAGAGAAGTGCGGGTAGACTTTCATTGATCTGCCTATTTGCCGTCTGTGTCTCTGCTTCCCTGGCATGGTAAAATATTTTGATACATACTCGGCATACTAATTCACGACACGATAAAGGCGTAATATTTACCGTGTGGACACATATCTACAAAGCTGCGGCCACCTCCCTATCTCCTTCTTTACATCTTTTGGCCATCATCACATTATACTTAAGGCGGATATTCCCTGTGTGATTGGCCATATTAAAAAGCTATAAAAGCTATATACTTTCTTTCGATGTTCACTTGTTGTTCGTTATTAGCGTTTGATTTTGTTATAGCAATTTACGGTTTTTATATTCTACACTACCTGTAGTACTGAGTCTATTCAGTTTGTGCAATGCTCGTACTTTTAATGCGTATCCATGTACTGTTGTGTTCAATCCCCAGGTCGCAGTTAAGGAGATAATTTGGAGAAATTTGAGGCAAACTCACAGCGCATTGAACCAAGAAAAAACCCTGCTTCAAAATGAATGGAAACAGATCCCTTTTTACGACAAAGTGCGAATTGATGTAGGATATTTAACAGTGAGCCATAGCCCACTATAAGGTTTTCACTTGTTTACTTCTAATCGCTGCAGTACAATATCGAACTT